GAGTTAAATTGCCCTCAAAGGAGGACAAAAATATCCGGAACCTTGGTTGCTGTAAAGCCGCGCAACTGTGCTGACCTGCACCATCTGAGGACCTGGTTTGTTTTAAAACAGAAAATTGATTCCATCCTTCAAGAAGTAATTAAAGTGTGTTGTAACTGCTTTTTTCTTATTTTAGGTATGTTTCCATAAAGCCTGATAATAGAAAGCTGATTAACGGTACTAATGTGCTAGGCCTGCTGCTTGACACTTTACTCAAAGATGGATTTCGCCTCATAAGCACCAGAACAGTCTCCAGTGAAGAAAAAGTCGAATGCTACAGTTTTGAAAGGATGAAGAGGCCAGCAGGCCTTACCGTCACGGTGAACCAAACCCCAGGGAGCTCCGGGGTGGCACAGGCAAAGAGAAGCCACGTGCAGAAAGGGAAGTGAAGGCTTTTCCTTTCATCTTTTGAAGGTGGAAGAGGGGTGTGTCAGCACCAGTGGCCTTTTTTTGTTGGCTTGTTTGAAACTGCAGCTATTGAGGGAAGTAACAAACAAACAATTTTTTTTTCCCAGGTATTAGGAAAAAAAAAAATTGCTTTCCTGCCTTTTACCGCTCCACCTTCTTCAACTCTAAATAAAAAGAACCACAGATTCAATACTGGTTTTGTGGACCAGATTCCAGCATTTCCAAGGGTTGTCTTTGTTTTTCTCTGTGGCTAAAATTTATATTAGGACTCGCAAAAAATCAGCCATTCCTTCTAGAAAATTGTTTTTATGTTCTGTGCTAATCTGTAAGTAGATTTTAAATACAGGATAATACATGAAGAAATAACAGCTTGACACAACTGTCATCCCAACAGTTTGGAGAAGTGGCTGGAGGAGGAATGCAAACCTCAACGACTGAATATCGCTTCTACTTTCAACAGATACACGTACACTGATTTCTCTTGCAATGAGCTGAAAGCAGCGTAACGGAAACATCCCAAGTTGTATTGCTGCGTGGCTCCAGACATGAGAAAGGGGCTTTG